CTGTCTCCAAAACTTTTTGTAACCTAAGGTCATGTTCTTTTTTGTCTTTTCCATAGATTACTAAATCATCAATGTATAGTCCTGTACCTTCACAACCTTGAAATATTTCCCTAAACTTATGCTGAAATACCTCAGGTGCTGATTTTATACCATATGGTAGCCTCAAAAACTTGTACCTGCCGAATGGAGTGCCAAAAACACATAGATTTGCACTTTCTTCATCAATAGCTATTTGATAAAAGCCACAGGTGGCATCCAATGTAGAAAAAATTTTTGCACCCACCATCTTGGCGGTAATTTCTTCTAATGTGGGTATTATACATTGTTCCCGTATGATACAATTATTTAGGTCTTTCGGATCCAAGCAAATTCTAAGACTACCATTTGGTTTACGTGCTATCACTAATGCATTGACCCAGTCAGTTGCTCCCTCCACTTTTTCAATTATATTTTGTTTCTCTAATTCCATTAGACTTTCTTTTAATTTGGGCAACAAAGGAAGTGCAACTCTTCTAGTAGCGTGAACAACTGGCTGTGCATTCTCTTTCAGTTTTATTTTATATTTCCCTGGTAAACAACCAATACCTACAAATGTTTCTTGAAATTCATCAACAAACTGTTTATAATCATTATTTTCACTTTTCAAGGTCTCTATCTTTTTTATAACACCTAAATGTGTGCTTGAGGATAAACCTAAAATAGCCTGTGTATTACTTTCCACTATATAAAATTCTAATTTATACATTTTATTATTTTTGTTGCAATTTAATTCACACATGCCTACTACTTTTAGACTATCTCCTGTATAGGACCTTAGCCTACAATTTGTAGATTTGATTGGAATGTTATACATACCTAAATTTCTCAGATGATTTATAGACAAAACATTGCACATAGCACCTGTGTCAACCTTTAATTTAAGTGTGCAATTATTAACATTTACTTCAGTAAACCACTCATTTTCATTATTTATCATAGTATTTCTGCTTAATAATTCATCTTTTTCTACAGATCCAATATACAGAAATGACTCAGAATTGTTATTTTCTGAAATTGTATTAATTTCCTTATCTTGTTCCTGATTTATTTCTCGTACATATGTGGAATTTTTACACACTGTAGAAAAATGATTTTTCTTTTTGCATTTTAGGCAAAACTTGCCATAAGCAGGACATTTATTTAAATCATGTGTATTTCCACATTTAGTACATGAAACAATCTTTTTACCTGAATTATATTTTCTATTTACATTTCCAAACTCCTGGTTTTGACTTTTCTGTTGTCCCTTATTTTGTTGTTTTCCCCTGTAGTGTACTGCATTGACCTCTTGTGCATCTTCTGTCCCAGGGTGCATCTCCCTACTCTGCTCCTTGGCGATTTCTAGAATTTTACACTGCTCTATCACTTTTTCAAGTGTCAGGGTATCATCTTGAAGAAGTTTTTCTCTCAGCTCGTTGCTCCTCACACCACAGATGATCATGCACTTGATCAACCCATCCTCCAGGTTATCAAACTTACATTTTTGTGCTTGCTCCTTCAGAGAAGTAATAAATTGCTCAAGGGTCTGTCCTAACTGCTGCCTGCGAGTGAAAAAGATGTATCTCTCGTATGAAAGATTCACTTTGGGCTTAAAATGAGCCTCAAATTTATTCAACAAGGGTTGTAATTTATCTTTTTCCTCTTCTGGAAATGTAAAGGTACTGTATATCTTGAAACCTTCTTTGCCTAGATAGTGCAACAGCTGGGCACACTGTACCTCCTCGGACTTTCTTGTTACCTCTGAGGCTTTGAGATAATTCTCAAATCTGCGTCGCCAAAACAGCCAATTCTCTGCTACATTGCCTTGCATTCGCATTGGACTTATTCCTCTGCTGTCACCCATGGTATTTAGCTTATTTTCCTTACTTATCTTATTTTATATTTCTAATTACGTACTTAGAAAAGTTTGGGGCACATGGTTTTTCACCTCCAATTTCTTTCTTCTCAATCAGATTCTTTCACCGACTGCGCCATGTAATTTATTATGTTGTTCTACTTATGAACAATTGTTATTTATTTTAGTGATCTGTTAATAAAACTATTAATTATTAACATTAGCTTTATTACTCAAAAATCCATTTCAGCGGCCTCCGCCACACCCTAACCACCTAACAATATAACAATAACAAAAGCCCCATCTCCGTCCATCGCACACTGCGCATGACATCTTTTATGTATGTTTAGTTGCATACCTAACAATTACTATCTTCATATTCATTCTCTAGAGTATTAATATTTTTAAAAGTTACTTTATTTTTATTATAATTTGAATTGTTACTGCCATTTTTGAATTTACACATTCCAGAAAAGTGATTCATGTTTCCACATTTGGAACATTGTCGTCCATGGGCTGGGCATTTTCCATAACCATGACAGTTTCCACACTTCCGGCAGCTTCTTTCATTGGTCTTGCTGTAACTTGTAGTATATTTGCTTGGATAGTTGCTTCTGGATGCCTCATATTTTCTTGGAATTCCCCTTTTATCCTTATACTTGGGTCTGAAGTTCCTCGTTATCTCCTCTACTTGTATATTCTCTCTATTATTGGTGGTAATTTCTCGATTTCGTTCCCTTGTTTTCTCCATATTGATGCATAGCCTAATTGCTTCCTCTAGAGGCTGATTATCTTCTTGAAGTAGCTTCTCCCTAAGTGTTTCTGACTTAAGTCCACATATAAGAATGTCCCTTGTTAAGGAGTCTCGTAAGAGTCCCAGTTCACAAGAATTAGCTAAATTTTTCAATTCTGTTACATATTGTTCAATGGATTCTCCTTCTTGCTGTTTACATGTTAGAAATTTATGTCTTTGGTAAGTTAAATTATTTCTGGGACTGAAGTGACTCTCGAACTTCGCAAGTAATGGATTTATTTTATCCTTTTCATCTGGCAGCATAGTGAAAGTATTGAATATACGCATACCTTCGTCGCCGATTAACGTTAATAGCTGAGCACATTGGGTAATTTCTTCTTTTTTCGAGATTTCTGTCGCTAGCAGGTACGTTTGAAATCGCTGTTTCCAAAATTTCCAGTTTTCTGCTACATTACCGTTCATTTTCATGGGTGGGACGCCTCTAAAATCCATTTTGATATCTTAGTTTCTCGTTTTCCTTTCGATTGGGTCTTCTATTTGCTTGGGAGTGCAAATTCGCCAAAATATTTTAAGATGGCGGAATTTTTTGTCTAGTTTCTAACCTGACTGCGCCATGTGGTGTGGACTTGGGAGAGTGTTGGAGACGGGACGTCTGAATTCAAAGACTGCTGGATGATAACTGGTTTATTAATCATCTTTATCACAGATCACGGAAGTCAGAGCACCAGGCACAGAACAATACATATCGGTGCTAGTGCATGGTTAGTGTAACCTAGTGTAGGTGTACATAATATGTCACACCAATAACTCGAAAACAGTTGCTCGCATCGACCGCTACCAAGAATATAATTTCCACATAAAAGTGTTCTTTAAATCTACTTTTCTACTATAAAATGTGATACAGGTACGCGCAAAAAAGTTATGACAATATGAGAAATTTGACTTCATTCTGTAAAATCTTTTCCCTTTTTATTTCAAAAGTTTTTTTTCAAACAAATAACTTTATTATGCCATGTTTTTGCCTTTCTCTTCTCCACGTGAGTACTGAGTACCAATTTGTTTTACTTGATTAACCTACTTATTACTGTTTCGTTGTTCTTTGTGGAATAATTCCTTTCTGGCAGATGATGGATACCTTTTGGTATTGAAATTAAACGTTGTGGAGACGACCTGAAGTGTTTTTATTATATTTTAACTACTTCACTCCACTTTTAGATAACATGGACTTCTACAGTAGATTGACTATATATAAAGTTCTTGGGAATAATACTTCCATTAGCAAAGAATTCCAAATCTTCGCCATTCTACAGATGAACGAGTTTTGGTAGAGTGTTGTTCGACATTTTCCAAGGTGAACGACAAAAGGATGTACTATCACTACTGGGCCTGTCGAGTTCGTCTAACTGGTATTTGCTAGTGATATGGGAATTATATATTGCAGATATTTCTGAGGAACATTTCCCGTGGAAGTATTTATGGACAAGTGGAAGGTCGCCGACTTTTCTGCGGTGTTTTAATGAGGTCAACAAGTTAGTGAGTGTGGCATCATACCCACCAGGCAAATGGCTCTTCTCTGGATGAAATCTATAAGAGCATCGGCGTATGGGTGCTCTGAACCCCATAAATAAGAACAGTATTTTGAAACTGGCCATATTTGTGCTATGTAGATCATGAGAACCTGTTGAGGTGTAAAGTAGATTTTCGCACGGAACAATATATAAGAATCCGAGTATTTGTGAAGCAGCTTCCACGTTAGATCGGACATGATTTTCCCATGAGAGTATTTGCTGGTATGGTAATACCGAGCATAGATATAGTGATCTTGGTAGGAATGGTGGTATCAGACATTATTACATCAGGCATACTTGTACGATAATTAACAGACAGACAGAATAAACAAACTCAAATTCGGTCGACCACAAAATTTGATATAAAACATTTATGTGTGTGACTATAGTTTCGGCACCTTGGCCATCTTCAGACACAACAGTAAGGAGGAAGTACCTGGAAATTACTAGCAAACATGCCTATGTTAGTGTCAATAATTGAAACGTCAATTCAAGAGCTATATAATTGTGTATTAAAATGGACGACTTTTGTGTCGGTTGCAGAAAAAATAGTTTTGACGTGTACTGGGCACGAATAATTATCAAATTTCATCTAGGTACGATTTGGGTTAAATCTTCATATTTTGGGCCTAGGATTCTATGGTTGAAATATTTTCAATATGTGAGGTAGTATTCTAATGCTCAACTACCTATACTTATTTGATTTATTTCACATTATTATAGAAATAGATAGAGAATATGCGTGTTTTCTATACGCATCAATTTGAGTGGTGAAATTTGCAGGCTATTAATTGATTGTAAACTATATGCTTCACAAAATTTATTTACAAGTAATTATAAAACTAACGCAATTTGACAACTTTTCGAAATTTCTTTCAGAAAAATTTTTGGGATTCAAACATGCATTTAGCAGATTCGAACATGGTATCCTGGGGCGTTGCCTTGATCAATACACACTTATTAACAATCTCATCAGCTTTGGCTGTATCAGCAACGTGCATATGGACCATTTGTGAGATCACATCTTTTTGAATTTCTCCAGTGTCACTCATGATTCCCACTTTCTTGGCAAAACACACCAGGTGCTCTTTGAATTCAGAGTCCGGAGGGAAATTTCCGGTTTTCGCTTGTTCTATCATGGCGTCTGTTATTCCGCTCACTGCCGTACACTCTTTATGGACGTCCATCATCATTTGCTTCTCTTCTTCAGTCAAACACTTGAAGGATTAAGAAATATAAAGTTACATTGAGAATGTATCAAAAGGACAAAACACCGAGTTCATGAAACAGTGGTCATTACGCCGAAACAGCCCAAATCAGCACCAGCGTCTTAAAGACGTACACTTTACGTGCTACTTTATACGTCCAAGGACCTATAAGAGATTTCTTGAAAACGTAGATTCGTGTACGTCTTTAAGACGTAACGAATTTACGTTCTAAAGACGTACATTTTAGGTACGATTTACGTAATTTCTCCTATCAGGGCGTATAAAATACGTTGTAAAGACGTATATTCGAGATGTCAACTAATGCAGGTAATTTTTTTGGAAAAAATAAGAAAGTGGGAAAAAAATTGAAATGTCATCGCCTCACGTTTTTGGACCCCGAAACCGCAATGTACCAATTTTGATTCGAATCGTAGCAGAAAAATAAATTTCTAGAACACTCTTGTGTGAAAAATATATTCCTGGTAAAGGTCGCTGCGAGCAACTGTTTTCGAGTTATTCACGTTTTTGGGATTTGAAATAATCAATACAAGTAATTTGGAATGACAAGAAGTTGGAATTCAATTATCAAGTAAGGAAAATTAATTTTCATTTCAAAATAAGAACCGGGCGTTAATACAATTCAATACTAATAATAATAATAGTAATTAAGACCAAATTAATACTATAACAGTTAGTTGAGGGAATTGATCAAAGTAATTGTTCAAAAGTGGCCAAAAAAGTAGATACAAAGAAGTAAGAATCATCATTTGCCTACATTCCAATGTTGAATTGTTGAATGTAGAAGAATATTGATGGAAAGAAGAAAAATGCACTGGCGTATCTTTCCTGATATTTGCTATACTTAGAGGCGACTTAACGAGCCCCATGGAAATAATTCGAATGCATCGATTATTTCAAATCCCAATAACTCGAAAACAGTTGCTCGCATCGACCGCTACCAAGAATATATTTTTTACACAAAAGTGTTCTAGAAATCTATTTTTCTACTATAAAACGTGATACAGGTACGCGCAAAAGAGTTATGACTTTTCAAAAGTCATGTAGGTGACGCCACCCCCACGAAAGAGACAAACTAACATCAAATTTGATATTGTCTTTGAAAAATACCCCTAACATAACCAAACTTCATTCGAATATCACAATTATTTTGATATTTATCAACAAAAAACAAAAATAAGCATTCAACTTTGACACTCTGTATCTCAGAAACGAATATAACTTTCGGAACTATATTTATACGAACTTTTCTTCTTATTTTGACGTCAGCAACATGCTCCTGAATTTTCTACACGTATACTGCTTGAGAAACACCCTATGCTATGCTATATGAACGGATATGAATGGAGAAGTATCTCAATGACAGTACTGGTGAATATCGTTGTGTTTCAGTGACACCTATGGATATTAGGTACACAGTAAAAGTCTATGGTCAGAGGCAAATTCACGTCAAGAGTTGCAAGTATTGAACTTAAATGACCTATAACAACTGAACCTCAGCCGTTTAGAAGAATAATGCATTCTCAAGAAAAAAATATAGAATCTTATGTATTCCTGGAAAACGGAGGACATTCTGAATACTTTTTTTGAATTGACTCGGCCGTTACTTGATGGAAATCCATGGCAAATGTGGAAATTTCACAAACGATAAGATTACCACAAAATTCTCATACACACGACATGTATCGCTAACACACACATGTAGCTTCGTCAGGTGATGTACTGGTACCAGAGTATATACATACATGTCGTGTCTTTGACAATTTTGTGAAAATCTTATCGTTTGGGAAGTTTTTACATTCTGAACACTTAGTCTAACCATTGATTTAATATTTCATATTTTTAAAGCCAAATCTGTCTCAATTTTTTTACTTATGATTCTCTGTTAGAACTATAACTCCAGTACAAGAATTATGTTATAATGTTTCCGAATCAAAATATATAAATAGGCAAAATTGATCTCAATAAAATTCATTATATACCATTATATCAGCTTCTATACTCCATTATCTTCAAATCAAAATATTGCGAAAACGGTACACAGTATTTCAAGTTTCATCAAGGGTACCTTTTTGGATTAAAAAATCTAACCTCAAAAAGGTTTTGTTTTAAACTACTCGATCGGTACGAACTGATGTGTAACTATCGCCCTCTATAAGAATCAGATATAAAAACAAAATTCATGCGATGTGCCAGCTTCCAAAATACAATCATACAAAATTTCATTATGAAGTTACCGCAGTAGTTTCCACATAAACGTAAAAAATGTGTGAAAAAACATGTTTTCAACACCTTGCATCTGTTACGACATCTTTTCACTGAGCAAAGCTTATTTTGCAGTGTTCTACCTATACCTTAGCAGGGGGGTCAGGTTTTTTTGAAGCACCCTGTATATCTAGTTTTAAAATATAACGTATCCTCGAGAGGAAGAGAATTCATCACTGAAAAAAATTCGACATACGTCGCCTATACCTGCGAGTACCTACTGCGTACGAATTTTCTCGGTGAAGATCCAAATAATCACCTACATAAGGCCTATACAGGCTGATTCACGGTGGATGGCACATTAGAAGTTTCTGGTGAACCAGACAACGGATCATTTTGAAAATTTGATGGAGGGCATATTCGGACATTCTCTAGCCAACTAAAATATTTTCGACAATGCGGTGTTGCCGCTTCTATTAGAAAGCAGTAGCAACTTTGATTTTTCAAATAGAACACTCTGTATTTTATTGCATTTTTAGATTCTCCCTGAAAAGCTGATTTCATCGATGTATCACACTTGGGGTCTAGCGGAAATGATTACAGAGATATAGGGTGTGAAAAATCGACATTTTTCAACTTTAGGAATTTTTTTTTTCGAAACTATTCATTATTGGTCAAAACGGCTCACATGTCCCTATCTCAGCTTTTGATCAACTATCTACTAGAATTTAATTGAAACAAATACAGGGTGGTGCAGAATTCAGAATCTTGATCACCCGGTATATGTCCCAATTAAATATCAGTAGATAGTTAATCAAAAGTTGAGATAGGGACATGTAAGCCGTTTTGACCAATGATGGATAGTTTCGACACAAAAAAATTCTAAAGTTGAAAAATGTCGATTTTTCACACCCTATATCTCTGTAATCATTTCCGCTAGACCCCAAGTGTGATACATCGATGAAATCAGCTTTTCAGGGAGAATCTAAAAATGCAATAAAATACAGAGTGTTCCATTTGAAAAATCAAAGTTGCTACTGCTTTCTAATAGAAGCGGCAACACCGCATTGTCGAAAATATTTTAGTTGGCTAGAGAATGTCCGTATATGCCCTCCATTGGATTTTCAAAATGATCCGTTGTCTGGTTCACCAGAAACGTCTAATGTGCCATCCACCGTGAATCAGCCTGTATAAGATATTTTGCACGAAAATTCTGGATGCACCCCTGGATAAGGCTTTCATCAAATGAGCATGTAAACCACCAACAATCATAAAACCAATTAGATCTTTCCGAATTTTGTTTCATGAGATTCAACGTACAGATTACTTTTCACCCTTTTATTATTCCGTGGGTAACTCATTCAAAAATATATGACAGAAAAAATTCAAGAAATATATCAACAATAACTATTATAATATAATATTATTATAGTTTGATGAAGTATTTACCTTTCCTAATGCAATAAATGCAGACACAATGAATACTGTTGCAATTATTTTCATTTTATAATGATTTTTTGCGATATTCCTACTCACAGAATTCAAATACAATGTGATGATGCAAATTCAAAAATTAATTTATATACAGGCTTCAATGTTCCGTGTGACACTTGAAGTAAATTATTAGTTACTAAAATAAACGGATATTCATCAATAGTGCAATTATGATAATAAGGTATTATTATTCGGCGGAGTACATTGGGATAATATAATCAGATTATAAACCCCTTTTAGATAAATATGTAGGTAAGTACCTAGGTGAGTTTTTGTGATGAGAAATATACGATTTTTGAAAATTATATAAGTACCTGATTATACTTATAATTGATTCTACAGGATGTTGCGAAATTTGGCGACAACGGTTGACAGATGATACTGATTGATTTGTGGAAGAGTTATATATAGAAAAATAAATGCTGAATTTCTCTCAATCGATTTTAGTTATTTGTGATTTTCTCTTCAAAATCCTCAATTTTTCACGACAACAACTTTGCTCATTCAACCAGTGACGCGCATCAGGAGGTTATTGTAACGTCTACTACCCTAATTACAATTTTTCTAATTCCATGGTCGATTTTGTTTCAAAATTGAATAACCTTTGAATTAGCTAAAATGAGCAGCTTTCGACTCAAAATAGAAGTTTGCATATACAGTCTGTCCAAGATAAGGTTGAACAGCATGGGGATCTCGGAAACGGTAGGAGATACGAAGTCGCTTAAATGGGGAAAAAGTGAATTTTTGGAATTTCTATTTTATTTTTTTTCTCCGTTATTATCAGAGATACAGAAAAACTGAGAATACTTTTTCATTGCAACTTTTGATGAGGTTTGACGTGGTGATACCGATTTTTTTATGCGACGTTTCGTATTCGTGGAACCATCATCAACTTTTGTTTCTTAAATACGGTCCTGAAAATTTTTTCACAGATTCTGAAAGGTTTTTTTATTCTGAATTCAACAATGTACTATACAAGGTGATTCGAATGTGTTTCGACCTATTTCTATCCATCATCAATGTTTTTTCGAACTTCCAAAAGAAAAAAGCCATCAGTTCCACTTATTTCTGATCATTTAGTGTCAAACTTGATGGATTAGTTATTCAATTCTGAAAAGTGAAGAAAAAATATTTCACTACATCATTCGATCAATGCAGCGTTTAAAATTGTTGATGAATTCTTACACGAATTACTTCAACAACTTAACTTTGACAATACCTACAGAGACATTCATAACAAATGTTCAAAATGATAACCATTATTTTCTGGACAAAGATATCCTCTTCTCACAGTTGCTTCTAAGACATTGCTAAGCATTTCTGGGGTTATTCTATTGAATGCTTCGAAGACACTGTCCCTTAGTTCTTCTTCATCATTAAAGTTATTTGCGTGTACAAAGTTCGATATATCCCCTAAGAAAAAATCCAGCTGTGTCAAATCAGGCGACCGCGCCGGCCAAGGGATAAAAACGCACGGACTTCTCTGGAATTATGTACAGGAGCGCCATCTTGTTGAAACCAACAGTTCTGAACTTCCGCAATCGGTAAATCATCCAGAGCTTCCTCAAGATGATTCTCAAGCGAATTTCTATAAAGTTCGGAAGTCTGTGTTTCATGGTAAATAGAAGGAACAATAATTCGTGTACCAAATATTGCAACCCACATATTAAAGCCAAAACGGTGTTGGTGTCTCGCTGTAATGTATAAATGTTCATTTTCTCGTGAACAATAATGTGTATTTTTTCTATCGAAGCTACCATGATTAGTGACCATGCTTTCATCAGTCCAGATGATAGTTCGAGGGAAATCTGCAAAATGTTAACATTTCCTGGTATACCACTCACAGAATGTCTTGCGCATTTCGTCATCGCCTGGTTTTAGCGCTTGACATATTCTGAATTTGTATGGATGGAATTTTTGTTTCCGCAAAATGAAATGGGTTGTTGATTGAAACCAGTTGATGAGGTATTAGTGTGTTGACTAATTTTCCTTCAAAATAAGTGGAACTGATGGCATTTTTCCTTTGGAGTTTCGAAAAAACATTGATGATAGCCAAAAATAGGTCGAAACACAAATGAACCACCTTGTATAATACATGGTTGAATTCAGAATAAAAAAACCTTTTAGAATCTGTGAAAAAATTATCAAGACCGTATTTAAAAAACAAAAGTTGAAGATGGTTCCACGAATACGAAACGTCGCATGAAAAAATCGGTATCACCACATTGACTGTCATCAAAAGTTGCTATGAAAAAGTATCCCCAGTTTTGCTGTATCTCTAATAATAACGGAGAAAAAAAATGAAATAGAAATTCCAAAAATTCACTTTTTTCGATAACTCAAAAACTAAAAATAATTTTCAAAATTTTCGAAGGCTCTTGATATAAGCCTCCGAATGCGCAACTTTTTCCCCATTTAACCGATTTCGTATCTCTTACCGTTTTCGAGATCCCCATGCTGTTCAACCTTATCTTGGACACACTGTATAGTCGTTTTTCATAATTTCCAATTGTATACAGTGCCTGTTTAAAGTGTGCCCCCCCTCCCTATACTAATGTTTGAACCACCTGGTATGTTGCATTAACGAAAATTGGAAAGCTCAAATAGGAGATGAAAAGCTACTTATCTATGAAAAAAACATCAGTTCAATGTTTTAAAATAGCGGCTGAGCGCCATCGTCAATAATTTTTTTGAATATATCACCTCGTATATTATTCTATTTTTGAAATGTCCTGGTAATTCTCAACAGTTTTACTGACACTCTATTCCTGAAATCAATGTTTTTCGAAATATTAACGTTCGATTAGTGACATTTTCGTCATTTCATCGTCAATCAACGATTGAAAACGCCAACTTTCAATAAATTTCCTCAAATATCTTAAAATAAAAATAGGGAGGGTTTTAGGAGATTTCGTTTTTTTTAGAATAATATATATATCCGAAAGTATTTGGAATTTTCCAAGTTTGAAAACGACATTTGTTTAGGCATAAAATGGCGCAACTTTGCCATAATTTAAGCGGCCCTGTATCTCTTACGATTTACGAGATGACTAATTGATGAGCCTCGAATTCCAGCCACCCTGTACAGTCCCTTCCCCCCTACTAATTTTTGATTAAAAAATTAGTAGGGAGTACAGGACACAGTATATTAACATGTGTGTTGTTTGTCACCACAAAAAACGGTACAAAGGTAATACCATCCAGAATTGCCGAAATAAGAAGAAATAAGATCAATTATTAGAATAGTAGAGGATTCTGAACCTACCTAATAGTAGGAGAGCTATGGCTGCAGATTTCTACCGTTATCTGATAACGAGATGATATATGTCCCGAAGGAATGTAAAAACATTCTAGTTCGATCATCGAACGGCACCTGTGCCAATCACAATTATGAGCAAAATGAATAAAAATTGCACTATCCTGTGCGGAAATTTGCATTGCAACCAGATAAGAATCATGCAATCCGATACCAATTGAATGATAGATCTTGAAAACCTACCTTTTTGCCACCCCTCAGTCTGAGCCAAATCCACAACACAGCGATTTATCTGCTCCAGGGACATTCGCTGGGATGGATGGAAGTACGATGAAAGGATATCCCTAGGACGTCCCAAGGATATCCCAGGGACATCCTTTCGACAAAAGAAAAAAGTTGTAGGTCGAGTAGGGATTGAACCCGGGACCTTTGGCTTATCATGCACGCACCTATTGCTCCATTGGCTATCATGCCTCCTGAAGATTTGTGTACTAAACAGATTTATAAACAGGACTTAACTTTAGACTTTATTCTTTATTTTCATTACAATCATTTTCCGGAAGAAAAACAAACATTTTCAAAAAAATTCAACACAATAGTTTGATGAAATTCAATGACTCTGATGTGAATGGTTATCAGATACTCCAGGGACACGAATAGGATAACCTATAGGGATGTTCCGGGTGGGATGTCCACTGGGCAACCACTGCAGGATATCCCCTGATGGATGTCCCAATCATGTCCTTGTACCGCGGGACAAAAAAGGGACGTACCTAGGACATCCCTGTGTTGTTAGGGATAGGTATGTCCATAATGACGGTAGCAAAAAAAATTGTTGTGCCGTGGATTTTAATCAACTTGAGGGTTGGCATAGCGGTAGGGTTTTGAGGTCTACCATTCAGTTGGTATCGTATGACATAATAATTCGTATTGGCTTATCAAATCCCGACATTTTGCCCAAATTACCGCACAGGAAAGTGTCATTTTTCAATCATATTTCTCAGGATGGATAGATTGGCACAGATGCCGTTCGAAAAAATACAATTTTTTTAACTGCCTTTGGGATATATATATCATTTCATTATCAGATGACGGTCGATATTTGCAGCCGGCTCTTAGACTGTGAGGGTAATTACAATGATATATCTTTTAGCCTATACCTTTGCCTATACGACCTTCAAAAAAAAAAGCGTACGACAAGTATTAAAAAGAGAGGATTTCTGGATCCTCTAGTTCGAGTTGAGTAAAACTGGCTCAGCCAATGCTTTGTGTTTTTGAGAACCTATTTGGTGAGCAATCATTCCCGATAGCCCGTTTTATGCAGAATAGGATGACGTTAATTTCACTGTGTAATAAACTTGCACGCTTTTTTTTCAATGCGACTGTACAATCTACTCTGGCACAAAGTCACATATGTTTTGAAGTTTCATTTTTTCTAAATTGTCAGAAAATGTTCTCTCTTCGAATTGTCTTTTACATCCTACTGATAGATTACTCCAAATGTAGTTTTTCTGTGACCGATTTCAATAATGATTTCACAAAATATTATTTGACCTCGACCAAAATAGATGGGCTTAATAATTATACAAAAACTCTTATGAATGGTTCACTATGGTGTTTCCCGTTGAATTATGCGGAGAAAATGGAGGATGAAATTTGTATCCAACAAAAATATGTAAGAGTTTTGAGTCTAGCCACCAACATTATTATTTACGATACAAATACAAGCAAAGATTTGACGAAACACATTGAAGCTAATAAACATTTTGGACTAATTGAAGGATTCGTCAGAATGGAACAAAATGTCAGCTATATCACAGGCTATATTAGCAATTCAAATTTTTATGGCAAAATGAGTTACCGAAATGATATATACTACTTTGAAGAATTGGAGAAATTTCCTTGGTTGCATTCATCTCCGTATAAAAATGCTATTGTATTCCATAGCAATTCATCTTCGGAAAAGAACCACAATGATCCAAGTCCTCAACAAGTGAAAAAGTTCAAAAGGAGTATTACTGATGAAGAACTATTCAAAGTAATGATTGGTAAAGGGTACTGTAACTTTTTCTGATACTGTAACTTTTTCTGATACTGTAACACAGCAATGTCAGTAATGATCTGAAATCACTCACAAAATTTAGTAGCTGAAAGAACTATATTCAAACTAATGAATGGTGAAGGGTACAGTTATAGTTTTTCTGAATCTATAAGACTGCAATATTCTGGAATTACCTACAATAATGTAAGAGCTAGAAAGTGAATATAATAGTAATTTTCCTAACAAGTGCGAAAAGAGTTAAGAACGATATTTTTTCTACAAGCGTAATAAATTGATTGATTTGTTCATTCAATTATTTCTGCAAATAGGAACAACTAACAATAGTGATGTATTCTCTATCTTCTAATAATTAGAGATATAATTATCTATTTTGTGTACCGTTTGAAGCATTATGTAGGTAAGCTCAGTGCGGAAGCCAGCTTGCCCATGGTGTTTGGCCTCTAGGTTTCAGACATTTCTAGGAAATGAGCCAAAAATACTTCTTCTTTATTTGGTGTTTCCACTTTTTCACTATTGCACCATTCAATGAAACTCGTGAAGTGTTTCTCATACCTTTCTTAAGACTTCGTCGGCAACTTTGATCATACATTGTTCGGAGGTTGGCAATAACTCATCTATCGCATATCTGTAGCTGGAAGTTTTTCATCGCAATTCCACTGAATCGAAAATGACAGTAATGCTCTGTCTGTCACTCTGAGAATTACACTTACTATAATTTGTGTTTTGATTGACATGACAACAATGGGCTTATATCACAAAAAAATTGTATTCCATAATTCGATAGAACTCACCCAAACTAGCTCACCACCGCAAACCGTTTATCGCTGTGAGCTCCCTACGCAGTGTTGCCGGTGTTGAAGAAACAAATAGCGCAATGCTGCCAACATAAAAGCGCAATATCTAATGAAAAAGCGCAATATTAAGAAAATTTGGATAATTTTGTCACACGAGTCAGAGATTTGTGAAATTCATTCTAAATAATCGTGGCGTGATATATCAATCAACAGCGTTAGCAATACGCAAGACATTTACTTGTTAGTCTTTATTTCTTCCAATTTTTGATTACATGCAACTGATTGCTGCAATTAATTTTTCCGGCAATTATAATAATGATAATCAGGTTATTCTACACTGAATCGGAATGACTATCTAGCTTGCAATGTAATTTTTGTAAAAAAAAAATCTGTGTCATAATTCTCATCAGGACTTCGCCGTGTTTGGTAGAAAACAATGAGAGCAGTAATAATATTCACTATGCATCAAATCATGCATACATGTTGTAGGAAATACCGAATATTCAACATTTAATCCCTATATCTCCAATGAAAATAGGTCCGGACGTAATCGCATTTCCTGCAATGCAACGAAAAATTGCGACAGTTGTTCAAAATGGCAAAGTGCGTTGGCATGCAATGAAAATTGCTGCTGGTTTTCTTCGGGAAATTGCGAACTGTGAAGCAGCTCTTACAAGTAATAAAAAGCGCAATTTATCCCGAAACATCGCAATGGCGCAAAACCAAGTTGAAAAGCGCAATTATTGCGCTTTTTGCGCCTCATTGGCAACACTGTCCCTACGTTTTATGAAAAATTATTGAAATCCCCGATTTTTAGGACCTCTGAAAACGAGGCGATGATGTGACGTCAAAACCTTAATACTGAAACAGGACTATTCCAGACAGAGATGAATGATACATGATTTCTGGCAGAGTGAATTAGCGCGAGATCACAGTTGAAAGAATTAATATATCAGTTGCCTCAGTCTCCGTCCGGCGTTTGGTATTTTCTTTTAACTATAGTGAGATGAGGTTTCTACGTCATAAGAGGGTCCGTTTTCACATGGTACTATTATTTATGTCCAAAAATTGAACATTCCAGTAAATTTTTCGATCGAATTATGTCGTCAATCATTATTCATGTATGAAAGGATCATTATAAACATGGTTTGAGTTAAAAGTTCTACCAAGGTGTACACGCCCATTGTGGGATCTCGATCAGTGGTATCCTTCCCACATCAGATCAATTAAAGGCTATAGGGGGATTTATATAACAATCAATTATTATTTTTCAATATTTCTTCATTTTCACAATAAATAGTTCAATTTGATGGATGATTTTGTATAAACATAGTAAATACTGCAACAAAAAAAACTAAAATTTTCATATTGTGTCACCCACCACCCATTTTTTGCGAGAATATTATATGAATGTTTTCCCCCGAGTTTTTCCCGCACTAGTGTGGGAAAAAATTTCCCGCCTTAGTGTGGGAAAACTTTTCCCGCACTACTGCGGGAAAATGACACATCCCAAACTAAATTCCGTGCGGCGTGCAGGTATAGGGTGAATCACGCACGCTTGTAGAAAAAATATATTGAAGACACGTTCTTTCAACTTCAAAATTATTAGGCGTTATATTTCCACTTTTCTCATAGTCAATTGATTATTTTATACTGATTCCAATTTCTTCACAGAAAAGTGTGCACCTTGTTTGTACTGTTGGATAACTCGTTTTTAACAATAATCCATAAAAATGATGTGGATTCAGCAATCAAACATGTATTTTCCACAATAGAGGAGGCAAATTCTTTGTTTCGGTCAACAGATTTTGATGATGATGGTTCCCCTGATAACATCGGATTCTTGATCAAATATTGCATTGTTTTGAGGACTGATAATTCTGCAATGAATTTACTACCAAAATATTCCAAAGATGCCATAGATGGTAAATTCTTTGTCCAAAGCTAACAATTATATGAAAACATAATTAGTATACTTACATTTTAGGAAAATTGTTTTTGAAAATGTTTTCCCGATACAATTTACTGAACGAAGTTTGTCTGGGTATTGTATTCACTGGTCAATCATTTCTGAAAGACATCGTGGGCATCAGTTTCTCAGCCGTACCAATGGACAAAAAATATTCAACTTTTCCAATCGGAGGAATCTGTGATCGTCCTTTCATAGAAAATCCCGGAATAAATTTGAATACTTTAGCTGTTTCTGCTAAAAGTGCAGATGGTAAGTTATGTCGCCCTTAATACGACAATACAAATATAGTGAAAACTTCAATATGTTTTCAAGACTCACCTCTACAAGGTCGTGCAGAAGTACTGAACATCCCACTACTCATTACTACTTATATTAAAAAGTACCTATACATTAATGCCAACGAAATTTCGGTAGATCGTATATCGTATACCGACTTAGCAGGATGGTATTTTTTCTTCAAGCGGCAGAAAAAGTGGCTTTTAACAATGAAGATGATCTCATTTCGAGTGACAACGAAAAATGAAAAAACTCTATCGCCCCGCGTGAGAGTCGAACTCACAACCTCTGGGTTACATGCCCAACGCTCTGCCAACTGAGCTAACGGGACATCCGTCGATCAATCGGCAGGAAGGTCAAGTTCTCATCACACATCCAGGCGGCAGAATCCTTCCAATTCTCGAAGTCACTCGAAATCATGCACTATGTGAATAAGGAATAAGTATCGCTGGCAGTGGCTTTTCTCTGATACGCAACAGGCGGGAAATTTATACTTTCTCTGCCTAGTAAAACAAATAACTATACTGTATCTATAACCCGCTCCGTTCTTCGATTTCACAGGGAAGACGATTCCAAAATACATATTCGATCTGAGTTTGTCGCACGAATTAGGACACAGCTTTGGAAGTGATCATGACAAAGGTGAAGATTGTAATGGCTATCTGATGAACGATCATACTCCCGAAAATTTAGATAGGAAGCATTTCGTTTTCTCCAGTTGCAGCAAAAGGATGATGTTGAAAACTATAATTGGCAAAGGGCACTGCTTCGAAGACGATTACAGTATTTATTGCGGAAATGGTAAAGTACCTATACCCACCTATTAATCATTGAAGTTTCATATACATATAGGTTCATATACATATGCATAGCATCAATTTTGGTCGCCGTTTAATTAATAAATAATCGCAGTAAGTGACACTGTGTAACTCTGAAACGAAGAAAGATATAGATATCGATAAGTATGCTTTTTCATTATTCAGCTTGACATGAGAACTGATATCCTCAAGCAACGACAGCAGTTCTATCTAGTTCGAGAATATGACTTTTCCTTCAAAGGTATCCAATTTGTCTCGCCCTGAACATCTCAGTACACATTTACGTTGGAAGTGAATAATTCTTGCTGATGTGGTGATGCTCTTATGTAAGTTGTTGAGGAATATGAGATATTATGGTTCACTACACTGTTTTACCGCTAACCAAACCGATTCTGAAACCGAAAAAGAATCGGGTTTGGGTTTGTTAGTGCTAAAACAGTGTACATGCTGTATTATGGTGCCAAAGGTTCCAGTCTCGACGTAAATATGGTGCTTGGTGCTTGTGTCGGTGTATAATTTCATCAATAGCTAGCGTTTTTGAAAGGTGCCGAATTCGATTATTAAAGAAGAGTAGGTATTTCTGGTAGTTTTATATAATGAATAATAGCATCAATTATTATTTTCACATGAAAACCTCGATAGTGGGGTGGTTAACGACCACAACTTCGCACTTCGAGCTAGAGGTCTGAAATTTTGCACGAGGAATCTCCATGCCATGTAGTATATATGAGTGTATATGAGAAATCTTGAATATGCGAAATTGAGTAACAATCAGAAATGGTCACAACCGACGATAATCACCGCAAGGTCTCCATGACCCAGCTTCCTTTTTGCGTACCATATGCAATGGACTCGCCCAGGAACTACTGGATATGATCTGCACATAGATAGATAGATAGATCAGTTTATTTCCTTCAAATGACAAATTACAGATTTGTATAGGAATTGTCAAGAAAAACTTAATGCTAGGGGACGAAAAACAAACATATAAGACACAATGAAAGATAAAAACTATACCAAAGAAACTATAAGGAGTGAGATACAGTTAGTTCTGTGAATTTACTTTTGATCATATAAAAACTCGTCAAGTGTATAAAAACATTTATCAAGCAGAAAGGACTTGAGACTCCTTTTGAATGTTTTAAGGTCATTTTTGGATTTTATTTCTTCTGGTAGACGATTGAATATTTTTGGCCCAATGAAATTTGGAGAGTTTTGACTGATTTTATACTTAGCCATTTTTGTGTGAATAAAATGTTTTTGACGAGTATTAATTTTATGGATATCACTGTTGAGTGTGAAGTCGTTTCTGTTGATATATATGTATATTGACAATTCATAAATGAATAGGCCGATACGAGTTAAAATTTCATGATCATGAAATAGTGGCCTGCATGAGCTGCGTTTAGGAGTTTTAAATATGCACCTTAAAATGGCTTTTTGTTTAATAAAAACATTGTTGCCCATTGATGAGTTGCCCCACAAACAAACACCGTAACGTAACCTAGCTTCTACTTGGGCATAATATATGCGTATCAATTGATTCGAATCTGAAACAGTGTTTAAGTTTTTGAACATATAAATTATTAAGCTCAGCTTAGAGACTAACTGTTCACAATGTGTGATCCAATTCAAAAACTCGTCCATATAAATTCCCAGAAATTTCACTTTGCAGCAGGTGCTTACAATGCTATCATTAACATTTGGTTGGAGTGCATCAACTTTATTTTGAAAATTATGGAAACGAATCACCTGTGTTTTCCCGGCATTGAAAAATAGATCATGTGTATTGAAATATCTGGTGGCTGAAGACAAGATTTCCTCACATTTATCAGATAATGAATGAGTGTCTTTAGTTGATACCAGAAAGCTAATATCATCCGCATAGGCGGTAAACAAAGGATATGTTATTTCTTTATCAATATTATTAATATACAAAATAAACAAAATTGGTCCCAAGATGGATCCCTGTGGCACTCCCATCTGAACCAGCTTCACTTCAGATGTACAGGAAGATAGTGTATTACCGTTATCGAATTTGAGAGATACACATTGATATCGATCAGTAAGAAACGAAGAAACCCAGTTTAGTGCCTTTCCCCTAAGACCATATCTCTCCAAATAATTTAGAAGTTTAGAGTGATTGACACAGTCGAATGCCCTGCTCAGATCACACAAGATCGCAGCAGGGCATTCACCTGTTTCAATAAAATCCATCAGATTAATGAAAAAATTGAAAATGGCCGTTTGTGTTGATTTTCCAGAGCGAAAACCGTGCTGCATAGGTATCAGAATATTATGCAAATCAATGAAATTCAATAGGCGTTCTAAAAATGCGTACTCGAAGATTTTTGAAAAACTTGGAGGTACGGTTACTGGCCTGAAATTATCGATTGTAAATATTTTTGATTTTTTTTGAATGGGAGTGACCTTTCCCACCTTTAAGGATTCTGGGAAAGTGCCAGTTAAAAATGAAAAATTCACCAGGAAAGTAATTGGTTCAATGATTATGTGTAGAACTCTCTTCACTATAAAAACAGGTATCTCGTCAACTCCTGAGGATCTCTTGTTCTTCATTTTGCGTGTTATCAAGTTAAGTAATTCTGTATCACTGAAAGGATTCAGGAACAAAGTATGGTGATTTAACTCTGTGCTGTGCTGTGATGCCTTGTTCTACCATGAATTGAAATTATCGTTTGGCTATTTCTAGTTTCTCAGGAGACAATCGACGAGGATTCTTCCTGAGGGGAGAGCCTGTGAACCGATGAAAAATACGATGTTTTCGATTCAGTGGCCAAAAGAGACGCCTTCGTGGTTCCGGGAAATTTCGCAAGAATTTCATGGAAAGGATTTTGTACATTGAGAGTCATGACCGTTGGCAAATTGCAGTATTCTTTGTTTCAAATCGACTAATAACCTATAAAACTTGAGAAAATCAACGCCGATGATGGACGGCTTACATGTAATATTGGGTTGTAGTGATACACAATAGTATAGGTAATAAACGTGTATTCAAGATCCAATATCGTGATTGACCTCCGTGTCAATCTGACATCCATAACATAATAATCTGACAACCTATTCAGTGAGTGTTCACAAGACTAAGACAAACATATAAACACGGCTAACTACAATACATCTCCCCCTCAAAGACCAAAACGATCTACGGGCTTTTTAACGCGAAGACTTCTCCTCAAAACTGGTAATTCTGTACTTCCAGAATCAGTTCTTTGATTTGAAGACTGATGAACTCCCAGCTGATTATCAGCTGCATCAACAATTGACTGTGGTGGTAATACATCACATACAGGATGCTCAGGAGTCGGAATCTCGTGCAAATCCTCTTGTAGAGGGTGTAGAGATTTTCGGTTTCTTCTATATTGTCCACTTGATGTTTCGACAATGTAGGAACGTGGCGTAACGTGTTTATCAACTATTACTCCTTGCTGATTCCGATCAGTTAAAAACACTTTCTGGCCTGCTTGTAGCTGCGATAGCGGATGGGCACGATGACGTTTATCAAAGTTGATTTTCTTCTTCTCCCTAATAATTTCTTCCCTTTGTGTTAAGATTTGTTTATTCGGAATTGAAGGCAGCAAGCTCTTGGGCAATTGTGGTACAAACCCTCTCAACTTCCTTCCCATGAGTAGTTCGGCAGGGCTAAATCCATTTTCGAGTGGTGTAGTTCGTAAGGTTAAAAGCATTTTGTATGGATCGGTGCATTTTTTCAGATGAGATTTTACAATTTTAACTTGTGATTCAATAAACCCATTACTTTGTGAATATAGAGGGCTAGAAGTGATCAACTCAAATCCAAAGTCTTTTGCTAGGTTTTTGAACTTTATGTCTGTGAATTGACTACCATTATCTGACCTTACGACTTCTGGAATGCCATGTCGGGCTAGTATTGACTTTATGTGTAAAATTACACAATCAGTCAACATCATTTCTAATTTTGCAATTTCGATATATCTCGAGTAATAATCTGCCATTATCAAGTACCATCTTCCTCCATACTTGAACAAATCAAGGCCAACAATTTGCCACGGTCGCTCAGGAAATACCGAGGATATCAATGGTTCTGGATGATTGGAACGAAACATAATACATTTCGAGCAGTTCTTGATCAGATCTTCTAACTGCGATGATAAGTGAGGCCACCAAACAGACTGCTTTGCCAAAGCTCTGCACTTAGTAATTCCTTGATGTCCCTCATGTAGCTTTTGAATCATGCCACTCCTCATGCTTTAAGGAATGATGAGTCTGGATCCATTCAGAAGTAATCCATCATGTAATGAGATATCGTTCCTATATTGCCAATATGGAACACACTCTTGGGTTATTTTGCTTTTCAGTGGCCAGCCCTCACGACAATACCTCATAAGCTCCAGACATATTGGGTCCTGTCGAGAGTTTTTGATGATTTCATCTAGTTTCGAATCTGTTGCTGGTAGATTCAATATAACTGTTTGAACATAGGCCGCAGTTTCCTCAGATAGCTCATCTTCCACATCTGGCCTGGGATCTCGGGACAGGGCATCAGCAATTAACAAATTCTTCCCAGGAGTAAATTTTATTTTATAAGTGTACCTCATCAGTCTTAGGCGAATTCTCTGTAATCTGGGAGTTATACTATCTAGGTCCTTAGTGCTTAGTATCGGAACCAATGGACGATGATCGGTTTCGATAACAAAATTCAGTCCTGTCAAGAACTCAGAGAATTTATCGCAGCACCAGGCAATTGCAGTTGCTTCTTTTTCAATCTGCGCATAGGCTTTTTCAGCTGGAGTCAAAGATCTAGAAGCATAGGCAACAGGTCGGAAACTTCTATCATCTTGAAGTTGCAGTAAGGCTCCTCCTAGTCCATATGATGATGAATCAGAAGAAACTACAGTTTCTTTATCACTGCTGTACAACGCTAGACATGGAGACTCTATTACAGATTTCTTTATTTCAGCAAATGCTCGCTTTTGAGGTTCTCCC